CGTGGCTGATACATAGAGAGCAATATATTTGTTTTATTAGAGAGTCTTCATAAATCAGGTTTTGTTGTCCCCTGTTTCCTCACCATGGCACTCTAAGTAGCGTAGCAACATTACAACCTTCTCTCTTTCTTTCTCTCTCGTGAATCAGACCGAAGGGAGGAGCACTTTCACTTCCTTTATAGAATGGAATGTGGTGTCACAGGGACTCCTTGTGGTGAGTAAACCCTGATTTTTCCTTCTCTACTCTTGGCCAAATTGACATTAGTGCAAACAGATATTAATTATAATGGAAACAACAAAACAGCATAGGCAGACATAACCACTTGAGGTCGGATGCCTGAGGAAAACATGGTCTCTATCCTTGCTTGGTCCTAAAGCGTTGTCCACATTTTTGCAATATTTGACCATGATCTCACCTAACGTAGGAAAATCACTCCATCAACTGATATTTAATTACACTTGTTGCCCTAGACCTTGATAGCAAGTACTTTTAACCCAATGCCACAGCAGTCGACTGAGCTTATAATAAGTTCCTTCCATATAAGTAATTTTTATTTTGCATTACCCCATAGCTTTATTAAACTGGTTGGGTTTTTTCCTAGTATAGTTTGAAATTATTTTAAAGCTGAAGGAAAGACTTTAATCATTCGATTTTAACACTTAGTAATTATTTTTCTATTGTATGGCAGGAAAACATAAGATTTAAAATACTGTTTTCTAATTAAGGAAAATATCTTAATCTCAATACTTTATTTGAATTTACTTCAAAATTATAAAGGAACTTCTCTTTTAAAATGGGAACCATATTGAATATATTACTTTATTTTACACTCTTACAGGTATACTACAAATGGCTAAAATGTTAAAAGAGAAAGAGAGAAAGAAAGAAAGATTCAGTCTATGTGTTTTATAATGAAATATCTCATGCCGATAGCTTGACACATATCTATACCAATTTGAAAATCAGCCAGGCAGGGATTATGCCATTTTTCTTGCTCATTTGTGTTGCCTTTTCTTTTTTCCTGATCTTTCTATATGCTGCTAGTTTTTGCCTTAATCTTCGTGTGTTACCTTCCTCTACTGAGCAGGAGGAAGAAGCCTATGTAGATCACCTTTTCCATTGCATTGTTCTGTTCCCACGAATCCACGAGCCCTTAGAAACAACAGCAGTGCTTTAATTGACAATGGCACATATCCAGTGGAAGTATTTGAATGAGTAAAAGATGAAACTTAGAAATGAGAAAATGTGGTTTCTGTATGAGTGGCTTAACATGAAAATTTTAAAAAATATTTTAAGTTCTGTTGAATATCTTGTTTAAAGTTAACTTCTCTTGCAGTAACTTACAGCCTAACCTGTGAATTAGATTAGTGGGTTTTTCACTTTGTCCAACGGCTTGCTCCATTTATTTATGTGTTTATGTGAGATTTTCAGCATTTGCGAAGTGAATTGCTACTAACTATGGTTTAAAGGATCTTTATAAGAAAGAACTTGAACTTGAAAGTATTGTTTGAAAGCCAATTCCAAGTTGATTGGCAAGGCCGTGGATAAGCTTCTTACGGAGTTGGAAATGCTTACCAGATAGTCATCTAAAAATATCCTGACAGAGAAGGAAACAAATACTGGGACTGGTTCAAGTTCTTTTAATCCTGTGAACTTATTTTGAGGTCAGGTGCTGTGATACATACAGATGTCTTTTAAGGTGGCATCTTAGAAATAATTTTTATTTTTGTAGCTTTCCTTCTTATTAACAAGGACTTTTATATGAAAACAAAACTGTTTCTTAGGAATTCTTCGACTTTTATTCTTTATTTGAATAATGCTCCTTAGTTTTGAATATCAGAGTCTTTGGAGCAACCACTTAGGACATTAGATTTTCACCAGAGTAGGGAGCACACAGGAAGCAGTAGATCCAGTGAAATATGGTCCTGTCTTTTTTAGAAATAAAGAATAAAAATGATGGGTGTGTTTGCTTTTTAGCACAAAATTTTTCCAGATAAGCTGTCAGTACAGTGTTAAGTTATATTGTATTAAATTATGCTGAAAGTGAAAGGGTACGGAGTTGTTGATTTAACAGTTCTTTTAAAGAAAAGTCTAGAATGAGAGATGGTAGTAAAGAACATGCCTTCTGGAGCTAGACTGCCAAGGTTCATATCCCTCCTCCTCCACTCTTAATTAACTATCCGGCTGTGGGCACATTCCTGACTGTGCTTTGTGCCTCATCTGTAAAACTGAGATAGTCACAATAATACCTTGCCCTTGCTGGATTATAGTGAAAACTGAAATGAATGTATTCCTGGTGCCTAGAACAATGCCTGCCACGTGGTAACTGAATTGTAGCATAAGGTATTTGTACAACCTTCTATGGTTTTACAAGCTTGTTCGATCCTAGGCAAGATAAAGCTAAATTAAAGTTGTTTATCCTTGATTTTAAGTTTTTATCATCTTAGTTCAAAATGTGTCATGTTGTGCTATCTTGGGATATATATTTCTAATGTTTGGTGCCTCTAATTTGCAACAATCACTTGTAATTAATACAACATTCCTTCATAGATACACTAATACATTGGTCCTTTGTTGTAAATGTTTATAAAGACATTAAAGACATAGGATTGGAGATATATATATGTGTGTATATACACATATACGTGTGTGTGTGTGTGTGTGTGTGTGTGTATGCTCTTTTTCTCTTAAATAAAATTACTTTGGCCGAGATCACTTAAGTAGATGCCAATCTAGTATGAAAAGCTCTAAGTATAGTTTCTTTAATTAGTTATCAAAGTCACCTTGGTAATTAATGCAAATTAATTAATACTACCCTACTTATGGTACCTATCATTTCTTTAATTCATAAAGCATGACCTATAGTTCCCAAATACAAAAGCCCATGACTCTCAGTGATTTGTGGTATTCAGTATATGCTGAGCCTCTCCTACACTTTAGAAGAAGAGGTGGGCACCATACTCTGTACCGATGCCTATTCATTCCCTGGCTGGCCCAGAGGAGATGGTCACACATGGGCCAGGAGCCCAGGAGTGTTCAGAATATCTCCTCTTTGCATTGCTTGAATGAAAGACATGCTTAGTTCCCACTCTCGACAACTATAATACCTCTTCTGTTTTTAATCTCATGGGGTTGGAAGCAGGGAATTCCTTGATGATGGAATAGCCCTTGGCAGAGATATCTGTGTTCTGGGCTGCATGTTTGGGAGATGGGAGGTGAAGAGATCTTCTCTGATTCTATGAGGAGAACAGGCCAGAGCCCACTTGGGAGAGGAGAAGAAAAGAGTCAGGGAAACAGGGAGATAGTGATAGGGATTGATTGGCTTTGTCCTTGAAGCAATTTTGCCCAAAACTTCAGCTGCTAAGAATAAGTTCACTTGGTTTATCAGCTTATAGTGCTGGTCTCAAGACATACGATCTGACACAGACAAATTCTGACTTGTCTCCCCATTTAGCCTCACTGGTTCAGCCCAGTGTCTTCCCACCTACTAATAAACCTTTGTGGACTTAGTTCTCACAGAATTTACCTCTTTTCAGGACTTTTGCAGTATCTCATATTCTTTCTGTGAACAGATCAAATTCATATCTGACTGAAAACCATGTGTGGTGTGCATTGTAGAAAACAAGGATGAGGTTCTCTATCACCTGCTCACAGAGCTACTATTTCAAGCCTCATTTGTAAAATAACGTTGTTGATGGTTCAATAATTAAATGCTCATAAAACAGATTAACAGGAGAAAAATTTTGTACATACAGGAACTCATAAAAAATATGCAACTGAAAGAAGTGATCAGACAGTTTGCTTTTATATACCTTTAAGACAAAGAAACAATAAATTTGTGAAGCATTAACAAGATGAAGAAGTCTGGGCTTGGGATAGCAGATGATGTAAAAGTAACAAGGGTTGTTTCTACAGTCTTCTCAGCCCTGAATTTCTTATCTCTGGTGATAAGGATACCTTCTGTGCCCAGGGGCAGGGAGGGTCCATTCACTGGAGAATTTATCTCCCACTTTCAAGGGATGCGAGGAGGTCAGAGTGTCCTCCTTGCACCAGCTGTTTCTTAAATAACTTAAATTCAAAATAAGATGCCATGTTGGCATATTTTGGAGTGGATTGCCTTGAATCTCTCTGAAGCAATTATTCTGCTGCTAGTAATTAGGAAAAAGCATTTTCAGTTCCTGTAAAGCCAAAAAGAAAAGGGAAGAATTTACAGAAAATATAAAGAAATATATAGAGAAATGCTGTTTTCCTCATGGGAAAAATTAACTAAAACTACAGTAGATGCTGTTTTTCAACAGTGGGATTGGCAGAGATCCAACAGTTGGTGGAATTCTAGATTGCTGCATGTGTGCTGCAGCCTTCCTTGCGAGCTGCTAGTGGATGGGAACACGGGCACAGCCACCAGAGAGGGCAGTTCGCTGCTTCTGTTGAGGGAACATACCCTCCAATTGTAGGAATTCATCCTACAGATATATTTTCAAATATGAGGCATGACATGCACATTTGTAGCTGCAGAAGACTGGCCATCTGCCAGCAGTGTTGCATCAGTTATGGTGCATCCACACACCGGACCATGACGCCATCGTAGAAATAGAACTTGTGAAGTGACATGAAGAAACCTGCTCTGCTGGTAAATAAAAAGTGCAGAACTCTTCCAGTGTGTGGAAAGGGCTGATCCAGCAGGCTGTAGTGCTTCAAGGTGAAAGGCTTAGGACAAAATCGTGGAAATCCATGGCTCCAAAGCATGTTATCAGCAGACACCCACCCTCTGCGTTCACTTGTTAAGAGGGCTCACCTCTAATAGTGGTTTAACATCTTTATTTTTTTGTACTTGGGTAGAAAACTTCACATGATTGAGTAGTCAGCATAACTTGTTAGTTTTTAAAAGAGCGTCTTAACTCTCATTATCATCTGTGTATGCCAGTGTATGTCCAGTAAAGATAATTCCAAGAGCATGTAAGGTAAAATTCATGTTTTTATTATGTCTTATGTATTTCAGGGACAGACGTTTGCTTCAGCCTGCTCAGGTGTGTGACATCCTGAAGGGTGTCATTTTGGTAATCTGCTATTTTATGATGCACTATGTTGACTACTCCATGATGTATCACCTGATAAGAGGACAGTCAGTCATCAAGCTCTACATCATCTATAATATGCTCGAGGTGAGTGAGGGCCCTCTTGTACCCACATGGTTAGCCTAGCCTCCGAAGCTGCACAGGCTTGATGAATGTGCGGACTTGGAGCCCTCTGATACAGAATTCTCATCTACCAACTCTAGTATTGGGACTCCTGGCCTTGATGTTTATACAGTCACTGGAGACATTGTTAAAATGCAGATTCTGATTAAGTAGTTCTGGGCTGAGGCTGGAGAATCTCATCCTCACCAGATGGTGCCCAATGCTGGTCCTTGGTCCCTAGGGTATGACATGTCCTCACATGGTAGAGAAGGGTACCTGCTATCTAGAGACTTTTTAGTCAGTACCCCCTTGAGAATGTAAATTGTCAAATGTCAAATAGGGAAATTTGTTTAAACATTCATTGGAAACCCATGTATACATCTTACTAAAACTTGAAGCATTATGAAAAATATTAGGATTATATATGTATTTGCTATAATAGATTTACACTGAAAGTGCTTTGTAATTTTTACATACAGCAGGGAAACAAAAGTTTGCAAATTTCTCTACATAATACTTTTAATACAGTATATTTCACTTGAGGGCAGTCAACATGTGAAAATCTACTTACATGCAAAAAGTAAATCAAGCAGCTACACAAAGCAAAAAAACATGTTTTGCTATAAAACAAAGTAGAATTTTGATCAGTTCTTAAAATAGTAAGCTACCTTAGGTTATATAATAAAACTTTTGAGATTCAAGTGCATTTTCCTGTACTTTTTAGGAATACAAGTAAGGTGTACTTATCTTTTAAATTAACTGGGAAAGGATTTTTCCTAACTAGTGGACAGATAGAGAGGTGTGGGTGCTCCTGGCTTTTCTGCTCTGAGACTCCATTGGATGAGGTCTTTCCATCTCTTCACAAGAAGCCATGGAACTCTGGCCGTCACGGTTACTCCTAAATTCATTTACCAACATGATTTAAAACCATACCCCAGCTTCCTGATTCTAGACTCATTGCATATGCTCTTGCTCAGCCACACCAAGTACCATCTGTACTGGATACAGATGATGTGGATGAAGTTTGTGAGGCAGAGTAGTCATCCTGCCCTCCCATCCCTGTCACAGAGAGAAAAGCTTGGGCTTATCTTGTTCCGTCTGCTTTGTGAGTGGCTCTTCCTGCCGCCAGTGGCCTACTAGTCTCCCTCACTGCCTTCCCTCTTGGGGGATTGCAGGTGATGAGGGCTTCTTCCTACCCTCACACATAATGAGTGTGCCCCCTAATTTACAAAGCCCTCTACAGGGTGGCCTCAACACTGTTACTAGAAGACAGGCCTCAGGTGGAAAGGGTCCATGAACTGCTGATCAGAATGGCGTATTCACTTTGCAAACTATACTTGATAATGTGCTTTCAGCATAGTAGACAAGAGTCCCGGCTCTCATCTAGGGATAAACCATTTCTGACTGAACCCTACTTCTTCCCCTTCCCAGCCTCGGTGCCCTGGACACAGCTTCTGGTTGCTGAGTGTCTCTAATTCTTATCTCATCTCATGAACCTCAGGTGCTAGGGGAATTAGGAGCATTCAATGAGGCAGTGCATAGACAGGGTTTAGCACGATGCCAGACATGTGTTGAGTGTTCCCTAAACAGCAGGTAGCTATTACACCTGCATTTGGCAAATATTTAATTGACCATTATTGTATGCCAAGCTCTGTCTTAGACCCTGAAGATCAGAGGCAAGCAGAGCCTGATCTTATGGAGCTTATATTCTGCAGGTGGAAAAGAGACCATAAATCAGGAGATATTCAGAAATGATAAATACCATGATGAAAAAGAACAGGGGATGGATTAGAGACCATGGGAGCCAGAGATTGATGGTCTGGGTGTGGATGCAACCATTCTAGCTGAAGCCTGAATGATATATGCCCTCCTTTCTTGCTTATGTGCTTATTTTTATTCATCATAACTCCATAGAGATTGCTACCTGAAAATGTCTTTAGGAAGTAAATCTGCATATTACATACTCTGTGATTAATCCAAACAAATTACAGCTACCATTGTCTACAAATCTTAGGTACAAATACAGTGGGTCAAATGATGTATTTGTCCTAAAGGATTTAAGTTCAGATTCTGAATCTGAATTTTAAAAATCAAAACCAGAGGAACTATGATTTTGATGTGCCCTCTCCCTTTTTATTTTTGCCACTATATAAGACTCTCCTTGTAAATATATAGCTAATTAGACAAAGTCTAATTCAAATTAATACAAGATTTTTAGCACTCACTGTGTCAGAGAATAAAGAGATCCCTGCTCTTTTGTAGCTTGCCTTCTAGTGGGATTTAAAAAGTCAGAGCTCCAGTATTTGAGTAAATCTGAGGTTTAGTAATATATTTAAGTGGAATATTAAGAAACACTTTTCAGAAAAAAAAATTAAAAAGGAAACACCTTTCCAATAATTTTTCTCCTTAGGTAGCAGATCGTCTGTTTTCATCTTTTGGACAAGATATATTAGATGCTCTCTATTGGACAGCAACAGAGCCTAAAGAAAGAAAAAGAGCCCATATTGGAGTGATCCCTCACTTTTTCATGGCTGTTCTCTATGTCTGTATCCTTTAGACTTACTGGAAATTTCGAGTCAGTGCGTATTCTACCTTATTTTATTTGGTTAACTATTTCTCAGATTTAAAGGGGTGTGTGTGCGCGCACGGATGTGTCCTGAAGATTAACATGAAATGTCTTTCTTTTAAAGTAATTGTAAATTAAAGAGCCTCATGTATGTTTGCTCCATTTAACTGGTAGAAAACAATTCTAGTCTCGGTGTGACTGATTTTATGGAAGGACTTGAGAATGCAAGGTTCATATTTAGACATACTTTATAGAGCTCTATATTCAACTTTCATACCTATACTGGAATTGTTTGTAATTTATCTTTAAGCCTATGAATTTTTTGTTAAAACCTAGGGCGTAAAATGTATACGGTTCATCCAGAGGTAAAATGTGAGATTGATTGGGGAGGAATTTTAGAAGTTTTATCTCCTCTGCTCCCTTTACCCCTCCTTAAAGCTTTTCTTTTAAAGAATTAAAGCTTTACTGTATAAACTGTGTGCGTGTATGTGTGTGTGTGTATATACCCACACATATATTTGCCCGTGCACATGCATAGCTATATTTAAGTCCTATCTGTATACTGTCTCTGAAAGAGTGGTACATGAAAAAATGAGGTTATTATTTGGAAAGTTAAGGGACTAAGTGGGAAGATTTCTATAAGCGTAAAAGTTCCAAGTATGTGGAGTAAAACAGTTGCTATTCTCATTTAAATAAAATATTCCATGTGTAATATGAATATAATTCTGCAACTTGTGGGTGTCTTCAAAAATGACATTGTAAAGAAGAATCTCAATTATCAGACATTTCTTACTCTTACATTCCTCATCCCCTACAGAACTATAGAAGCCAGTTCCTTCCAGACTTTTACTTAGTGTTCTTTTCTATTTTAGAATGCAAGTTAAGTATCTTTTTTCAGTATTAACGAAAATTTTTTCCACTTATTTAACAAACTTTTTCAAGGACCTGTTTCCCAGGCCTTGTGCCAAATGCCAGAAGTTCAAAAAGAGCAAGACTGCCATCTTCCAGGACTCACAGTCTAAGTGAATGGATGCCCAGAGGCTCATTTCTGCTTTGTTTATGTGGGTCCCATACATTTTACCTGTCAAATTAGTATCAACTATAGCTAATAAGATAATAAAGCTCTAATGCAAGACTGGATTTAGAGATCATAATCATCCCCCCCCCCATTTACTTTCAAAATTGTATAGTTTTATCTACTAATTCACATGAAAACAGACAAGCTTTTTCCTTGACATTACTCACTGCTAGTTTTGCATGCAATTCTCATCATGGTTCAAGCAACAACTCTCAACGTGGCTTTTAATTCACACAACAAGTCACTGCTTACTATCATGATGTCTAATAATGTAAGTATGAGATTTAATTTTACACTTTTGAGGCTCTATGAACACTTTAATGGCAATATTCTGGATGGAATGAAATTATTTTTTTAAATGTTATTTACTCTCTAGAAAGTTTTACATGTAGCATGTCCATTTTTAAACTGTTCATAATAATAGTGATCTTTTTGTTTACTGTTTCAGTTTGTTGAAATTAAAGGAAGTGTTTTCAAGAAGTTTGAAAAGAATAATCTTTTTCAAATGTCAAATAGCGGTATGTACACTTAGGTTCTACATGAAGCTTTATGCAGTATTATTTTGCAACTCATTCTGAAACTCTCTGTCACATTTCCTCTGGGCTGCTGCTTTGACTTAGCTTTGCTTTCTTTTACTCCCTCAACATCTTTACCAGGTTTTCTTACTATCTTGGTTATTGTAATTTCAAGACATTTAAGATAAAATATAACGAGCATTTGCATAGCACCATCCCATACTTTCAGAGCTTCTTATTAATCCAGAAATTTCTGTGTAGCAAATGATATTTCATGTTATAGATGTGGAAACTAACAGAGAAAGTAATTTGACATCCCCAGGTCACCCACACAGATGCCAAGAGCAGAATTATGGCTGTAAACCTCAGATTGTCTCTCTGTGCTCAGCTTTTTCAGTTATGGCTTACTGCCTCCTTATCCTAAGGTGAAAGCACAACATCTCTCCCTAAAAATATTATCTTTCATAGGTACAAAAATCAAAGCAGCATAGTGTCTTGGTTCTCAAAATATAGCGTATGGGACCCTGGAGGGTTATCCCTGGAAAGGAGTTCACAAAGTCAGGACTGTTTCCTAAGAATATGAAGACGTAATTTATCTCTCACCATGTTGCTATTTGTACTGTGATGGGAAATGGAGGTGGAAGTACCCTAATGAGCTATCGCTGCACACCCGCCAGGATGGCTTCTTCGGTAGTCTACCACCAATAAATGTTAGCAGGGGTGCGAAGTGACTGGTGTTGTCGTGCTTTGATGGTGTAAGTGGAGAATATTACAATTGCCCTGGAAAACCTTCTGGCAGTTTCTTATACAGTTAAATGTTTGCCTATCCTGTAACTTAGCAGGGAGAATACATGTTCACAAAAGACTTGTACAAGACATGTGGCGGCCTTATTCATAGTAGCCAAAAACTGGAAACAATCCAATGTTTGTCAGGAAGAAAGCAGATAAACAAATGGTGGTGTAGTCATACTGTGGAACACTACAGCTATTAAAACAGAAAAAACCACCAATACTTTCAACCACATACAAAACTGGAATTTCCATACTTGAATTATGTCAGTGAAAGATGTAAATGCCTTACCAGTGTAACACCAGCCTATATATATATAGTGTATTTATTTTGCAGACATTCATGTGTAATTATACTCTCATCGTGTTCTGACTAAAAGAAAGTTACACATGCACTATATTATTGTTACTTATATACAGTACAGTATGTATTCAATTTTTTTTTCAGATATTAAGGAACGATTCACAAATTATGTGCTTTTGCTAATAGTATGTTTAAGAAACATGGAGCAGTTTTCTTGGAATCCAGGTATGTACCTTTTAACAGATACAGTGCCTTGTAATTTTACTCTTGAACCACAAATCATTCTTTTACATGGAATAGAGTGAATATTGCAGAGAACTTCAAAAACTTGAGCTCTTCTGCTACTTGGGTGTTGGAAACACCTGTTCCAACAAAAGGATTTGAGTATGTTCTGCTGAGTGTGGTGGGATACCACACCATGGGAAGTAGTCTTTGTCCCTTCGTTTCCTGTAAACCTCACAGCATCTCTAGAAGCTGTGTATTCAGTGGGTGAGTGGACGCTGCTAAGCACTGTGGCCTCTTTGTTTATTTAACTGTAGTGTGCTAGGGTTATCTAAATATAGTCAGCAATTTCTCATTTTCACGGTTCACCAGAATAACTTTTTGCTCTTTCTTAACATTTGTCTTTTACTCACTGCCTCTTAATTAGCATTTTGAATACGGATAAATTAAAAAAATATATAATGTAAGGCAGTAAATTTGGTTACTTACGCATCTTCAAATCAAGATTGACAGGAAGTTGTTGAGATTCTATGAATTTTCATCATCCACTCAGCAGACATTTACATAAAGCCAGGCACTGTGGTATACGTAGAGAGTACCAAGGTTTGTGTGGGACACCCAAGGCTCATAGTGGAAATAGGTCATTACAACACAGTCTGGAAATGCTGAAGTGAGGTTGGTGGGAAATGGTCCTGTCTTAAGTGAGAGTTTTTTATGTCTGATATTTTTATACAGCTTAGTTCTTATGGATTGTGATTATACTTTGCATTTTATTAACTACCCTCAATGCCATGCCATGCACATTCTAGGCTTTTAATAACTTCTTGTTCACTTATTTTGATTCATTGCTACTTCTCAGATACCTGTGAAAATCCAGAAACAGATAGTAAATGAGATATATGATCTTGGAAATATATTTCCACAAGTTCTATTCTTGTAGAAAGCATAAGACCAAATGATATATTTCCAGTGACTTGAGTTCCTGTTTGAATAGATCCAAAGTCTGCCTCACTTGTGACAGCAAAGCCCTCCCCTACACACACTGGGATTTTCTATGCACCTGGATTCTTGGTTTATAACTAAGGCACCTAACATGGTGTCTACGAGAGGCTGGATAGTGGGCATGTGTGGCTGGTCTCAGCAGGACTCACATGGGATCAGCAATCCTGAAGCAGGGCAATTGCACCAAAGGACAGTAATTTAAGCCTGCTGACTGCTCGATATTTGAAATCCTATTCTCACTTGTACTGTGATTTTCAGCTAATTACCTTAGGTCTTTTTTATTACTGTTATGGCAGAGAGTGTGATAAAAGGAACAATGTTGGTGAACTCATCATTCTTTCACTCTTTAGCTTCTTTTCATTTCTTTTCTTAAAAACCAAAATACCATTTATGGAAGCTTCCTGTAAGCTTCCAAGATCATGAGCAACAAAAAAATAATACTAGCTACTTTGTGTGCCAGGCACATTGTTCTGCACTTTACCTCCTTATTTAATTCTCATAATGGTCAAGTATAGAGACTTTTTATTTTGTAGATGAGGAAACTGGAGCTTAGGTCATTAAGAAACCTGCCCAAGGTGATGGAGCCAGTTAGTTGCAGTTTGACATTGAAAGAAGTTTCCTGATTCCCAAAACTCAGCAGGATGCCAGACCCACTAAAACTGTCAGCATGGGTAGCCTGAACTATATTGTGTCCACCTCATCCAGTGTCCAGATCCCAAATTGCCTAGGTCTTTGTCAGCATTTCTATCCTTTTCTTTCTCTGTCCCACCCATATATCTTTCTTCACTATCTTTTTGTCAGGTGCTTGATACCAATTTGACATTTTAATAAATCTAAAGGTGAGCAAATTTGACAAATTGCGTCTCTATGACAGTGAAATAAATGATTAGTATCTTTAAGTCATACTGATCAAAGAGTTTGGGAAGACATTGTTCAGTTGACTTCAGCACATGTCGCTACTAGCTATTTACTGTCACATTAGGCAGCTATAGAATTAAAGGATTTTATAATAAGCCTGCTTAATTAGCCATCCTACCAGTGTGTTGGCTCCATGAAGGAAGTCGGGGACTCTTCACCTCTGTGTCCTGCCCCTCAAGGGTCTGACACAGAGAAGTATAGAATAAATACCTATTAAATGAATTATCATTTAACTTGATAAAATATAGCTCTTTATATAATTAATTGAATGCTAGTTTTGTCTGTTATCATTTATTGACAACATTATAGCTTAACCCTGTGGAGATTTCAGATTTCTTTTTTTTTTATAATATTTTTTATTGGTGTTCAATTTACCAACATACAGAATAACACCCAGTGCTCATCCCGTCAAGTGCCCCCCTCAGTGCCCGTCACCGATTCACCCCCACCCCCCCGCCCTCCTCCGCTTCCACCACCCCTAGTTCGTTTCCCAGAGTTAGGAGTCTTTATGTTCTGTCTCCCTTTCTGATATTTCCCACACATTTCTTCTCCCTTCCCTTCTATTCCCTTTCAATATTATTTATATTCCCTAAATGAATGAGAACATACACTGTTTGTCCTTCTCCGATTGACTGACTTCACTCAGCATAATACCCTCCAGTTCCATCCACATTGAAGCAAATGGGGGGTATTTGTCATTTCTAATGGCTGAGTAATATTCCATTGTATACATAGACCACATCTTCTTTATCCATTCATCTTTCGATGGACACCGAGGCTCCTTCCACAGTTTGGCTATTGTGGACACTGCTGCTAGAAACATCGGGGTGCAGGTGTCCCGGCGTTTCATTGCATCTGAATCTTTGGGGTAAATCCCCAGCAGTGCAATTGCTGGGTTGTAGGGAAGGTCTATTTTTAACTCTTTGAGGAACCTCCACACAGTTTTCCAGAGTGGCTGCACCAGTTCACATTCCCACCAACAGTGTAAGAGGGTTCCCTTTTCTCCGCATCCTCTCCAACATTTGTGGTTTCCTGCCTTGTTAATTTTCCCCTTGTTAATTTTCTGGTGTCATGAGGTATCTCATTGTGGTTTTGATTTGTATTTCCCTGATGGCCAGTGATGCAGAGCATTTTCTCATGTGCATGTTGGCCATGTCTATGTCTTCCTCTGTGAGATTTCTCTTCATGTCTTGCCCATTTCATGATTGGATTGTTTGTTTCTTTGGTGTTGAGTTTAATAAATTTTTTATAGATCTTGGAAACTAGCCCTTTATCTGATACGTCATTTGCAAATATCTTCTCCCATTCTGTAGGTTGTCTTTGAGTTTTGTTGACTGTATCCTTTGCTGTGCAAAAGCTTCTTATCTTGATGAAGTCCCAATAATTCCATTTTTGCTTTTGTTTCTTTTGCCTTCGTGGATGTATCTTGCAAGAAGTTACTGTGGCCAAGTTCAAAAAGGGTGTTGCCTGTGTTCTCCTCTAGGATTTTGATGGAATTTTGTCTCACATTTAGATTTTTCATCCATTTTGAGTTTATCTTTGTGTATGGTGCAAGAGAGTGGTCGGGTTTCATTCTTCTGCATGTGGATGTCCAATTTTCCCAGCACCATTTATTGAAGAGACTGTCTTTCTTCCAATGGATAGTCTTTCCTCCTTTATCGAGTATTAGTTGACCATAAAGTTCAGAGTCCACTTCTGGGTTCTCTATTCTGTTCCATTGATCTATGTGTCTGTTTTTGTGCCAGTACCACACTGTCTTGATGACCACAGCTTTGTAGTACAACCTGAAATCTGGCATTGTGATGCCCCCAGCTATGGTTTTCTTTTTTAAAATTCCCTTGGCTATTCGGGGTCTTTTCTGATTCCACACAAATCTTAAAATAATTTGTTCTAACTCTCTGAAGAAAGTCCATGGTATTTTGATAGGGATTGCATTAAACGTGTAAATTGCCCTGGGTAACATTGACATTTTCACAATATTAATTCTTCCAATCCATGAGCATGGAATTTTTTTCCATCTCTTTGTGTCTTCCTCAATTTCTTTCAGAAGTGTTCTATAGTTTTTAGGGTATAGATCCTTTACCTTTTTGGTTAGGTTTATTCCTAGGTACCTTATGCTTTTGGGTGCAATTGTAAATGGGATTGACTCCTTAATTTCTCTTTCTTCAGTCTCATTGTTAGTGTATAGAAATGCCACTGATTTCTCGGCATTGATTTTGTATCCTGCCACACTACCAAATTGCCGTATGAGTTCTAGCAATCTTGGGGTGGAGGCTTTTGGGTTTTCTATGTAGAGTATCATGTCATCTGCGAAGAGGGAGAGTTTGACTTCTTCTTTGCCAATTTGAATGCCTTTAATGTCTTTTTGTTGTCTGATTGCTGAAGCTAGGACTTCCAGTACTATGTTGAATAGCAGTGGTGAGAGTGGACATCCCTGTCTTGTTCCTGATCTTAGGGGAAAGGCTCCCAGTGCTTCCCCATTGAGAATGACATTTGCTGTGGGCTTTTCGTAGATGGCTTTTAAGATGTTGAGGAATGTTCCCTCTATCCCTACACTCTGAAGAGTTTTGATCAGAAATGGATGCTGTATTTTGTCAAATGCTTCCTCTGCATCTAATGAGAGGATCATATGGTTCTTGGTTTTTCTCTTGCTGATATGATGAATCATATTGATTGTTTTACGACTGTTGAACCAGCCTTGTGTCCCAGGGATAAATCCTATTTGGTCATGGTGAATAATTTTCTTAATGTACTGTTGGATCCTATTGGCTAGTATCTTGTTGAGAATTTTTGCATCCATGTTCATCAAGGATATTGGTCTGTAATTCTCCTTTTTGGTGGGGTCTTTGGTTTTGGAATTAAGGTGATGCTGGCCTCATAGAACGAATTTGGAAGTACTCCATCTCTTTCTATCTTTCCAAACATCTTTAGTAGACTAGGTATGGTTTCTTTAAACATTTGATAGAGTTCCCCAGGGAAGCCATCTGGCCCTGGACTTTTGTGTCTTGGGAGGCTTTTGATGACTGCTTCAATTTCCTCCCTGGTTATTGGCCTGTTCAGGTTTTCTATTTCTTCCTGTTCCAGTTTTGGTAGTTTGTGGCTTTCCAGGAATGTGTCCATTTCTTCTAGATTGCCTAATTTATTGGCGTAGAGCTGTTCATAATATGTTTTTAAAATCGTTTGTATTTCCTTGGTGTTGGTAGTGATCTCTCCTTTCTCATTCATGATTTTATTAATTTGAGTTATTAATTAATTCTCTCCTTTTTAATAAGGCTGGCTAATAAATAGCCAATTAGCCATTATTTAATTTTATTAATTTGAGTTATTAATTAGTTCTCTCCTTTTTAATAAGGCTGGCTAATGGTTTATCTATCTTATTAATTCTTTCAAAGAATCAACTCCTGGTTTTGTTGATCTGTTCCACAGTTGTTCTGGTCTCGATTTCGTTGAGTTCTGCTCGAATCTTAATTAACTCTCTTCTTCTGGGTGTAGGATCTATGTGCTGTTTTTTCTCTAGCTCCTTTATGTGTAAGGTTAGCTTTTGTATTTGAGTTCTTTCCAGTTTTTGAATGGATGCTTGTATTGCGCTGTATTTCCCCCTTAAGACTGCTTTTGCTGCATCCCAAAGATTTTGAACGGTTGTATCTTCATTCTCATTAGTTTCCATGAATCTTTTTAATTCTTCCTTAATTTCCTGGTTGACCCTTTCATCTTTTAGCAGGATGGTCCTTAACCTCCACGTGTTTGATGTCCTTCCAAACTTCTTGTTGTGATTTAGTTCTAATTTCAAGGCATTCTGGTCTGAGAATATGCAGGGGATGATCCCAATCTTTTGGTATCGGTTCAGACCCGATTTGTGACCCAGTATGTGGTCTATTCTGGAGAAAGTTCCATGTGCACTTGAGAAGAATGTGTATTCAGTTGAGTTTGGAGGTAAAGTTCTGTAGATATCTGTGAAATCCATCTGGTCCAGTGTATCATTTAAAGCTCTCGTTTCTTTGGAGATGTGCTTAGAAGACCTATCGAGTATAGAAAGAGCTAGATTGAAGTCACCAAGTATAAGTGTATTATTATCTAAGTATTTCTTCACTTTGGTTATTAATTGATTTAAATATTTGGCAGCTCCCACATTCGGGGAATATATATTGAGGATTGTTAAGTCCTCTTGTTGGATAGATCCTTTAAGTATGATATAGTGTCCCTCTTCATCTCTCACTACTGTCTTCGGGGTAAATTTTAGTTTATCTGATATAAGGATGGCTATCCCTGCTTTCTTTTGAGAACCATTTGAATGGTAAATGGTTCTCCAACCTTTTATTTTCAGGCTGTAGGTGTCCTTCTGTCTAAAATGAGTCTCTTGTAGACAGCAAATAGATGGGTCCTGCTTTTTTATCCAGTCTGAAACCCTGCGCCTTTTGATGGGGTCATTAAGCCCATTCACGTTCAGAGTTACTATTGACAGATATGAGTTTAGTGTCATCATGATATCTATTCAGTCCTTGTTTTTGTGGATTGTTCCACTGAACTTCTTCTTAAAGGGGAATTTTGAGAGTCCCCCTTAAAATTTCTTGCAGAGCTGATTTGGAGGTCACATATTCTTTCAGTTCCTGCCTGTCTCGGAAGCTCTTTATCTCTCCTTCCATTTTGAATGAGAGCCTTGCTGGATAAAGTATTCTTGGTTGCATGTTCTTCTCATTTAGGACCCTGAATATATCCTGCCAGCCCTTTCTGGCCTGCCAGGTCTCTGTGGAGAGGTCTGCTATTACCCTAATACTCCTCCCCATAAAAGTCAGGGATTTCTTGTCTCTTGCTGCTTTAAGGATCTTCTCTTTATCTTTGGAATTTGCAAGCTTCACTATTAAATGTCGAGGTGTTGAACGGTTTTTATTGATTTTAGGGGGGGAATCTCTCTATTTCCTGAATGCCTGTTTCCCTTCCCAGATTAGGAAAGTTTTCAGCTAGGATTTGTTCAAATACACATTCTGGCCCTCTGTCCCTTTCGGCGCCCTCGGGAACCCCAATTAAACGTAGGTTTTTCTTCCTCAGGCTGTCGTTTATTTCCCTTAATCTATCTTCATGGTCTTTTAATTGTCTCTTTTTTCCTCAGTTTCCCTCTTTGCCATTAACTTGTCTTCTATGTCACTCACTCGTTCTTCCACCTCGTTAACCCTCGTCCTTAGGACTTCTAGTTTGGATTGCATGTCATTCAATTGATTTTTAATGTCTGCCTGATTAGCTCTAAATTCTGCAGTCATGAAGTCTCTTGAGTCCTTTATGCTTTTTTCTAGAGCCACCAGTAGCTGTATAATAGTGCTTCTGAGTTGGCTTTCTGACATTGAATTGTAATCCAGATTTTGTAACTCTGTGGGAGAGAGGGCTGTTTCTGATTCTTTCTTTTGAGGTGAGGTTTTCCTTCTAGTCATTTTGCTCAGTGCAGAGTGGCCAAAAACAAGTTGTATTGGGAAAAGGAGAAAAAGAGAGGAGAGAAAGAAGGAAAGAAAAGAGAAAAAGAAAAAAGGAAGAAAAAGAAAGAAAGGGAAAAAAGGGGGGGGTAGGGGAAGCAAACAGAAATAAAAAAGAAAAAAAAACAACAAAAAAAAACCATGGGGGAGTATCTTCTGATTCTGTGTACTTTAAGTCCCTTGACTTCCCCTGGAATTGGTCCGTCTAGCTGGTCTTCTGGGGGAGGGGCCTGTTGTGCTGATTTTCAGGTGTTAGCACTTGGGGGAGCTGCTCTGCCCCTGCCTGGTGCTGGGCTCAGCGGGGGTTGTTTACTCCGTGAGGCCCCAGGAGGAACAGCCACGGTGGCGGTGGCCAGCTCTGGAAACCTGGATTCAGCCCCCGCAGTAACTCCGGAGCTCTCGGTCTGCAGGGCCTGGAGGCTCCAGGGCGGGGCCGCTGATCTGCTCAGCTCGGGGCAGGAGCGTCCTTGCTGTCCTGGGCCCTCCCGGCCTCTGCCTGTCCTGGGGGAGACCAGATCCTGGGCTGTGTCCCAGGCGCCCTGTGCTCCAGGGCCTGCGCTGTGGGATTCGCGCTCTGGCCGCCCAGCCGCCTCTCCGCGGAGCCGCAGCCCGAGCCCCTCCGAGCTGCTCCCGGGTCCCGCCGTGCGCGCTGTAGCCCTTAGGGCTCGGGGCACTCTGGGGGGGGGGGGCACAGGTGTCTGTTAGTGTTGCAGGGAGCCTGAGGGCATCCCCGCCCTCCTGGGGTCCTGCTCTAACTCCCTGGCGCCTCTCCTCCGGGAAGGTTGGTGCAGCTTCTGCTTCTCCAGGACAGAGCTCTCCTGTCCTGGGGACACTCGCCCCGGCCTCAGCCCGGCTCCTCGCGGGGCCCCTCCCCCTCGGAGGCCTTTTGTGTCTTTATTTCTTTTTCCCCGTCTTCCTACCTTGATAGAAGCGCAAACTCTTCTCCCTGTAGCGTTCCAGCTGGTCTCTCTTTAAATCTCAGGCCAAATTCGTAGATTTTCAGGATGATTTGAAGGTTATCTAGGTAATTTGGTGGGGACAGGTGATTTGGGGACCCTGCTCTTCCGCCATCTTGCCCCTCCTCCACGATATTTCAGATTTCTATGGCAGTTTATGATATAGTATATGATATTCTATTCATATTAAGAGATTTAATTGTTTTCTTTTTCCCTATACTTTGTAGATCACCTCTGGGTGTTGTTTCCAGATGTCTGTATGGTGATTGCATCAGAAATTGCTGTGGATATTGTAAAACACGCCTTTATCACCAAGTTCAATGACATTACTGCAGATGTATGTATTTTAATAAGCAATTCAATGTTTAATGTTGGCTTCTTTGCAAATTGGTACAGCCACTTTGGAAAACAGTATGGAGGTTCCTCAAAAACTTAAAAATAGAACTACCCTACGACCCAGCAATTGCACTATTAGGTATTTATCCAAAGGATACAGAAATACTGATTCGAAGGGGGACATGCACGCCTATATTTTTAGCAGCAGCATCAATAATAGCCAAATTAGAAAAAAATGCAAATGTCTATTGACATTTGAATGGATAAAGAAGATGGGGGGTGGTGCACGTGTGTGTGCTCTTGTGTGTACACGTGGGAATATTACTCTGCCATCAAAAAGAATAAAATCTTGCCATTTGAACGATATGAATAGAACTAGAGCATATTATTCTAAGTGAGATAAGTCAGAGAAAGACAAATACCGTATGATTTCACTCATTTAGAATTTAAGAAACAGAACAGATGAACATAGGAGAAGGAAAGGAAAAATGAAATAAGATAAAAACCAAGAGGGAAGTAAACCATAAGAGACTCTTAACTATAGGGAATAAATGGAGGATTGCTGGAGGGAAGGTGAGCAGAGGCTGGGATAAATGAGTAATGGGTTTTAAAGAGGGCACTTGTTGGGATGAGCACTGGGTGTTATATGTAAGTGATAAATCACTAAATTCTACTGAAACCGGTACTACACTATGTGTTAACTAACTTAAATTCAAATTTTAAAAATAATTAAGGATATTTTCTAAAATAATGTTGACTTCTGCTTATTATTATAAAGATGTAAAATAAGCCTAGATTTACTCTATTTCTTAAGAGTACTATTTTGAAGTTAGAATATATTATTTTAAATTTCTAAATTATTTAAATTTAAATTTTAAATTATTGTACTACAAAAAGTATGTTATTTCAATATTGAACAGTTCTGGTTCATACTTTTGGGTAGCAGTATAAATTGGCCAATAGTTTAGGTCAGAGCAGAGTGTCACTAACTCAGAATCATTATAAACTGTTAATACTGTCATAATCTATTTACTTAAACTTTTAAAAATCACATTGTTTCTATTTAAGCACAGACTATCAAAACTTTTATCTCTGGCTATGTTTTTTAAAAGTATTTTATATTTAAAAATTGATTTTTTTTCTATGATTATATTTTTCTGAAAAGTCCTACAAGACAGAAGCTTTATATTTTTTGGTGAAAGCATTCAGATTTGCTTTATGTTTCAGCCAGTTCTGTGGAGTTTCCGCAAATAGATACATGCTGTAGGCTCATCCTCCACAAAGCATGGTGTTCTGAGTGCCTTCCACATTCCTACCTCAGCCCCAAAATGAATATTCATTTTGACAGTTTCCTAGATTTTATTGGGTTGTACTTTGTCTTACCATGGTACTATTCAAAAAGCATAGATCGGGGATCCCTGGGTGGCTCTGGTTAAGTGCCTGCCTTTGGCCCAGGGCGTGGTCCTGGAGACCCGGGATCGAGTCCCGCATCGGGCTCCCTGCATGTAGCCTGCTTCTCCTCTGCCTGTTTCTCTGCCTCTCCCTCTCTCTCTCTCTTTCTCTGTGTCTCTCATAAATAAATAAATAAAATCTTTAACAAAAAGGCATAGATTTAAAATCTAATGTGGTTGCAACTGCTACAATATGATTTGATTAAGAGCTTTGGAATGCCTTAATATACTTTTTTTTTTTTTGTATTTCCTTTTTTTTCTTTTTTCCAAGATTTTATTTTATTTATTCATGGGAGATACAGAGAGAAAGAGAGGCAGAGACACAGGCAGAGGGAGAAGCAGGCTCCATGCAGGGAGCCTGATTGGGACTTGATCCCAGGTCTCCAGGGTCATCCCCTGGGCCGAAGGCAGTGCTAAACCGCTGAGCCACCAGGGCTGCCCCTTAATGTACTTAAATACAGTAAGGTTTTACATTCTTTTATAAAGCAGCGATCAAGTAATTTCACCGTTTTCCTCTCTGGTTTCCTCAATGCAAAATAGTTCCTTTTCACGGGGTCATTTTCTCAGCATCTGAAGTCAAAATTAATAAACTTACCTCGAGGGCAGGCCGGGTGGCTCAGCGGTTTAGCGCTGCCTTCAGCCCAGGGTGTGATCCTAGAGACCTAGGATCAAGTCCCACATCGGGCTCCCTGCATGGAACCTTCTCCCTCTGCCTATGTCTCTGCCTCTCTCTCTCTCTCTCTCTCTCTCTCTCTCTCTGTGTGTCTCTCATAAATAAATAAATAGAATCTTTAAAAAAATAAAAAATAAAATAAACTTACCTCAAGGACTTAGTGCAATTTGTAGTGAAATGACAGTTTATAGGGCCTTCACAGCTTTAGGTTCTGGAACTCAATTTGACATCTTGCTTAGCATCCATTTTATAAATGAGGTGTGATTATCTTTATATAAACTAATAATTTTTTAAACTATGCATTTAAAATTTCAAAATTATTTTATATGTATTATACTACTTAAAATAGCCACTTCTTCCCCAAATTCTAAACTCTCAGGATCATAACCATTGACTATCTCTTTGAAGAGAAGTCTGTAAAAGGCTTGTGAACCTAAAAGTTGGAGCTGAGGCTGTCTTACCCTTAATGTAGGGAAACAGAGGCACACTACCCAGGTGTGTGCTTGGTTAGCAGCACCTTTTTCATCTAAATCCATTAAATCTTTGCACATTATATATTTGCACTGTATCACTTAATATTTCACTCTTGTTTGTCTTTAGGTCTACAGTGAGTATCGAGCCAGCCTTGCTTTTGACCTTGTTAGCAGTCGACAGAAAAATGTGAGCATTGTGTCGAAGACATAGTCTGACATCTCCTGAACAGTGGTTTGATTTAGCATGGAATATTGGTTAAGGGAAAGTTCCATAAACTTCAACTTCCTACTTCTCTGTTCTCAACACTGTTTACAATTTAGTAAAATAATGATAGTACTTAATACTAAAATAAGATATGATTTCTGTAGCGTTGTAACAGTTATACAGCTTTGTATTTAAGACTTCTTAAGAACATGTAGATTTCCACATCATTTTACTCAATTACATAATAGTTGCCAGGTTTTCTTTTCCTGCATAGCCCCACCTATTGAGAATGTTTGCTGGTGATAAGTGGAAGCAGACTTTTTAAATGCCATAAATCCTTCTCTCCTTGTTCTGTGCAGGCATATACTGATTACAGTGACTCCGTGGCACGGAGGATGGGGTTCATTCCTCTCCCATTAGCTGTTCTAGTAAGTTCATACTTTTTTTTTTCCTTTTTTATTATGAGATAGCTGTCATGATAGAGTATTAAATGTATTATCAAGAAGTTTATTTCAGAAAGACTTTAAAAACTAAAGGTAAATAATTTGGAAGGAAATTTTAAGTTATGTCATTATTCATTTGGATTTTGAGCTGTTAATAGGTAAGTAATTTTAACAAACATTTTATGTAATGGCTTTCCTAGCAATGAGAGTACTTATTTTTGCTTATTCATTTGGCAAAGATTTTTCTTTTTGAACAGAAATGCCTACTGGTGCTTACATGGTGTGATCATGTAAGCATGTATTAGTGGAAGTATAAGAAGTCAATCCAACATTTCTAAAAGGCAGTTTGACAGTATTATGCTTTGATGTAGTAATTCTAGTTCTAGGAATTCATCCCAAGAAAATAGTTATAAAAAGCACATGATGAATTATAGGCAATATTATGCATTGCAGGGGCATTTATAATAGTAAAAATTTGGAAAGAAATGAAATGGGTTAAATAAATTTTGGTGTGCTCCAATGAAGACATGGTCCCTGTCCATTATAGTTACTACTTTTTACAATTTTTCCAAAGTTTTCACAGTGAAAATTTTTACTGCTATGCTCAGAAAAAATATATATATACTTTGAATATTTTAATGAATTGCTTGGAACAGCCTTGTAAAAAGTTACTAGCCACATTGGGCTGTAATAATGTTAATTAAGATTTGCTGGCTGCACCTGTATTTGATTATGTTCCTCGTTGGCTACCTAGTCTCACATCAAAACAAATGAAACCATCTTTTTGCCAGTGGACATCTAGAGTTCTCCTGTAGATGCAAAGTGTCAAGAAGTCAACTAAGAGATGTATAAAGAAATTGTGAGTGATGCCAGCTGTATCATAGACCAGCTTGCCTGACCTTTATTAGAGACCGGAAGATTAATAGATTTAATATTATGTAAATTTCATTGTGACTCTCCAGACAACCACATCCTAAATATTTTCTATAGTAACTTGTTTGTTACATAATAATACGGCTTTCTTTTGTTTGGGAAAAGGAGCTTCTAGAAGTTTTGGGAAAACAATACTTTAAAGAGTAAATTATTTTTAAGAGATTGATAAAATATTAAATATTTCTACATTTGTTTCCTACAACTGGAAATGTGATACATAGAATGTAAGGATACACCTAGGTTGCCTGACTGATTTTTTATTTTTAAAAGTTTAGTTAATGATGAGATTTAAATATGGCCCTGCTTTGCCAAATAATTGACTGTCTAGTAATTTATTTGCCAGAAAACTCTATTCGGAATTAGTATGGATTTTTTTTACTTTAGTATTTTTAAAATTTTCTCCAGCCTTTGTTTTATTCCTGAAATGACTTTTTATGGCTGTTCTACCAAAAGATTTAAGCTTAACTGGTAATTGGTTAACGAAATGCTTCTGGAGCACCTCTTGCATTTTCAGAGGGGATCTTGCAGTTAGACAGTGATCGAGTAGGTTTTCTCCTGTAGCATTCTTCTCTCAGAGCTCCAAGTAACCTTGAACTTTGGCAGCCATCTAGGAGTCTTGAGGAATAGTCCAAGGCCTCTTTAATGCCCATGAGTGGCAGTGTTTCTAAGTGTTACCTTATGTCCTAAAATGAATTCATATCCAGGAAAAGTAAATGATGCATTAAGGTCTCGTGGAAATTACGCTTTGGACATATGTATTTTAAAATTCCCTAATAATATATTAGATAAAAGCGAAATCATTTAAGCCTTGAATGCTGCAGCTGGCTTGCCTTCATATTAATCAGTAAAATCCTAGGGCCACGTTAATATCCATCACAAACATTTGTCCAGCAGGTTGTCTCCTCAGTACAGCATGTGACAGAGACGAGGACTTCCACGTCAGTCCTCTCATAGGGACCTTTGTTGAACACAAGACAGTAGTTCTCTCTCCACCTAGTTATTCTTTCACTAAAAGCATTTGTAAAATGTTGTTTAAAACGTATCTTACGGTATTTATTTAAGACCCTTCAGTAGAGTTCCACTTGATGATAACCTAACCTTGCTGGATAAGGCCCCTTATTTTCCCAGACTTTGCATTTCTGTGTAGCAGCCCCTGGACCCTGTTGTGTGGATACATTATTAAGCTGAACCTGATGTATAAATATTTTCCGGTGACAGGCCCCACCAGATTTATTCAGCACACTTCCAAGGACAGTGCTGTTCCTCCTACATTTCTGTGAGATAAGTAAGAAAACGTGTTTAACCATGCCTATACCAAAGAGACTGAAAATTTTCATCTTTTAAATAATGAATTTTGTAATATTAGTTTTTTAAAACAGTACAAAGCTCTTAAGGCTCCCTTTTCCCTCTTCCCCATTAGTCACTGTGGGTTCCTAAAAAGAGTCAAGGAAAGACCAAAAAAAAAAAAAAAGCAAGAATAAGGGAAGTGCCCACCATATGATGCTAGCTCTGGTGGGGACAGATGCAGCAAGATGAATCTATTTGTATTTTCCAGAGTGATTTTTCATTTTCAAAATCAGCTGACTTGACTCTCTGTGAGGTACAACTACACATGTCATTCACGAACCCAGATAGAGTGCCTGACCTCAGTGTCAGTGACAGCTGAACAGGGCATTAGCCAGAGGCATCCTAGATTTGCCTACACAGATCCACATCCACCACAGAGGTTTTCACGTGCAGCCAAATATTCTCATATGAATTGACAAATCTAGAACTACTTGGATTTAGACAAAGCCCACAGGAGTGTGCCCAGAGTGTTGAAATCAGCATGGAGAAGTTTTTATTTAAATATTAACTAATAACTCTGTGGTTGTGTGTTTTTGTTGTTTTTGTTTGTTTCTGGCTAGCTCATCAGAGTCGTAACAAGCTCAATCAAAGTGCAAGGAATTCTGTCTTATGCCTGTGTCGTACTCTTCTATTTTGGGTAAGATTAACAGTTCCTGAATATATTTTTGGTTATACCATAAAGCATATATGCAAGATGTCATGGAAGCTAGTAGCATCCAAGTCAGCCTGCACCCCTTCTTACTGTCCCAGGGCTCCCCTCACAGCACGTACCTCCAGGTGGATTTGCGACTTGGTGAGACTCCATGAAGTATGCTGCTATTTGGTACCAGTGTAAATGGCACCTTAGGGTTAATTTTAATCTTTTTTTTTTAATTTTTTTTTAATTTTTATTTATTTATGATAGTCACACAGAGAGAGAGAGAGAGAGAGAGGCAGAGACACAGGCAGAGGGAGAAGCAGGCTCCATGCACCAGGAGCCTGACGTGGGACCCGATCCCGGGTCTCCAGGATCGGGCCCCGGGCCAAAGGCAGGCACCAAACCGCTGTGCCACCCAGGGATCCCCGATTTTAATCTTTAGTAGAATCAGTTAAAGCTCTTGCTGCTTCAGTTGCTTTCCTTTTTCTTTCACAGTAAAATCTGCCATTACAATCAGACATTTTTCTGGGTTTAAAAACATCTTTAACTGAGTTGATCCATGGGGCTCTCCCCACCAAAGTTTTGCTCAGGTTCTAGGAGTTAGGCTGTCCCCCGTAGCCATCAGGCCTCTGTCCCCGCAGTGTCCCAAACCATGTCATCAGTACCTTAATTGGTGGCTCTGGTTTGGGCCCGTAGGAAATTGTGTTGAGGCAGAGGGCCCAGAACTTGATTTCTCCTAGAGCCTGCCCCTTCTTCATATTGTGGGGACTGACTCACAGATTCTAAAGCCCAAGGAACCATAGACTGACCTTGGTTTTTGACCTTAAAAACCTAAGACCCTCCTTCTGTGGTACAGATGCTCACACAGTGCTCCCACATTCTTGGTTCATCAAGGGCTGTTTCTGTAATCGCTTCCATCTTTGTTTAACAAAGTATTCTTGTGTGTGTGTGTTTTTACTTAAACTAGGAAGTGAAGCATGTATATGCAACTTAGAAAAACCTTTGTTTAGTTATAGTTGTGTGTGTAATTCACCACAGTGGACGTGCTTTAATCTAAATGACTGAAAATTCGTGCCTCCCCACCCCGACACCTCATCACTGGTCCCCCTGTAGCCCACAGAGGCACAGTTGCTCACTGACCTTTCCACTCGACTAATTTCTCTCTCTGAGCCTCATATCAGGGTAGTACCCAAGCTGTCCCCTTCTTGAGAATCTTACCCAAACCACCTGGTCAGTGAAGCTGTCTCTATTCTCTCACCCCACCCAGCCCAGGACTCTCATTCAAGTGCAGATAGGTCAGAACTCAGTTGGGCCTCTTGGTACCTGGTGCTGGGCTTTTTCCCCATGGCCCAGTTGGGCCTCTTTCCCTGCAGACCTACTGTGGCCGGCAGCCTCCGCCCGCCTCATGTGTTCAGCCCTCCTCAGTGAGCACCCGTGGGTACAGGACCAGGGGCCCTGCCTTTGTGGCCCTGCAAGTCTAGTGGAAATAGAGGCAACAGCCAGAAAAGCAAATATCCATAAGTGACAGTTGGCAGTAAGCTTCAGGAAGAAAAATAGAGTAGTAGAAGGAGATGGCAAACAACAGAGGGGCCTGCCTCTGAGCCTCTCTGGTGAGCTGGTGTTTGGTGAAGACCAGATGGAGTGAGGGAGAGAGCCACGCAGATGCCTGGGAGGGATGGCACGCGCAGTAGAGGCAACACAGGACAGGCCTGACAGGAGCAACAGTGGGGAGCCTGGGAGGCTGGAGTCCAGCAGTCCAGACAGAGCGTCACAAAGAGGACCCTGCAACCCTGGGAAGGGCTCAGGTTCCAGCTGAGGGGAGGAGGAACCCTGGAGGCTTCCAAGCCGAAAAGGCCGAGATCCAGCTGGCTCTTGGCCAGGACCACTCTGGCGGCTGTGTGGAGGATAGGCTGGAGTGTAGAAGGAGGAGAAGCAGACCTTGGGCCAAGTCAGGAAGCGACTATGGGCCTCCCTGGGAAAGAGGCCCATGGCCACCACTCAAGTGGTAGCAGTGGAGTGCTAACAATTTGTCATCTGGTATATATTTTGAAAGGGGAGCCAGACAGGACTTGCCAGTGAATGATTGGATGTGAGGTGTAAGGGAACCAGAGGAATCAAGTGTGTGATTGCAGAGTTTGGGGCCCAAGCAGTTAGGGTAGTGGCATCGCCATATTTTGATGGAGGAGTCTGTAAGAAACACACACGGGTGTGATTTTGTGTAATTTTCTGTTTTGCAAGGCTGTGTTGGAATCGAGTTCAGGGTTTAGTAAATTTGAAATCCCATTAGCCGTCCCCAGTGCAAGGTTGGGGAAGCAAGGCAAAGTATGAGTAAGGAGTTGCAAGCAGAGTTGGGTCTGAGGGTAAATTGGGGGAGGAGGTTGCACGTGAAAACCCTTGGGCCGTTATCCAGGTGAGGTCCTCCCTGGATGTTTGCATTCTTAACTGGGGACAGTGAAGGAAACCTGTTTGCTTGACCTCTTCCTGACCCCCTCCTCAGACTCGCCCCCACTGACTCACAGATTCCTGTAATTGCCAAGATCTCATCTCAGCCATAAAGACAGCAGCTGCCTCTGCACTCACTGTAACACTGCCAGTGAGGTCCTTGCTGCTTTGTCCTGTAAGACCTCCCTTTGTGAGAAGATACTAACATGAAGAGAGTATTTTTTCAGGATTTTTTTGCCATATTTGTATCAAATACCTTAAAATATATACATTTTGGTTCCCACAAATTCTACTTCTGGAACTATAGCTATCTAGGCATTTATCTTAAGGAAATACAGATTTAGCCTAAGTTTTCTGAATTAGAAACTTTTAAATAGAAACAAAATATTAGAAATAACCCAAATATCCAGAAATTAAGGCCTTTGGGGGCCTTTGTTATAACAATGTCCTTGAGGAACATTAACTGGTAAGGAAAATATTCATAATAATACGTAGTTATGTAAAACAACAATAGCATTTAATAGCAAAATTGGTTGACATCTCTGTGTGCCAAGAACTGTTCTGAGCACCAACTGGAGTCATCTCTGGATTACTGGTTAAGAAGTGCACTCAGGTCCACACAGGTTCGAAGAGATGAGTCAGGATTTGAACCCAGACACTTGGTGCCTAGAATCTGTCCTGGCCCCAAACTCCAGCCCCTACTGCTTTGTAAAATAGACCCCGTTTCCGGCAGTGGGAAAGTCGGTATAAAGTCATCACAAAAACAACCAAAACATTGTATACCACATGTCACAGTGAGCAGTGCTGGAGGATGGAATTATAAGTTCTGTCTTGTTCACCTACATTTACTAAAGATATTTGTTTTGCGGTGAAAGAATAATGATTTAGTACCAGGTAAAATTTCTAAGTGGTACAATTTCTTCTCGTCATGAGAACTAATGAATCGATCAAGCGTTTTCCCTTGTGGTAAAGAAGCCTCACGGGACACTTGCCCATTCCAGAAAACGGGGGCCTCCAGCTCCCGGGCCATGTGCCTCCCCTGGCCCCAGGCCCTCTTATAAGAAGTGGGGGAGACAGCGTTTGCATTGATGGAGATGAATCCCAACCATGGTTGTTTCTGCTTGTAGGTTGATATCCCTGAAAGTACTTAATAGCATCGTGCTGTTGGGAAAATCATGCCAGTATGTGAAGGAGGCCAAGATGGAAGAGAAGCTATTTAATCCGCCTCCAGCCAGTGCACCAGGCAAACCACCTAATAAATCACAGAACAAATGTAAACCCTCTCAAGGTATGTTTGGTTCCTCCCATCACTTGTGTGAATCATTTAACAAAGAGTTAATGGTCTAAATTCTACCTAATAAAAAAAAATCACTGGGGGATGTTTAGCAATGCTTTCAAGATTTGGTTTCACTTTGCTGAGTTGTCTTTAGCATTTATATTTTAGATCTCCTTGCAGAGACACATAACGTGGTGCTCTGAGCTTTTACATTTATTCATTGTCCAGGAGATGATTGTTGAACACCTATTACATGACAGACCCAGGAGTATAGCAACAGGGAAGAAAGGCTGATTCTGACTTGGAGGGTGGGTGGAGAAAGTGAGGGGGCAGTCATACTGTAGAGAAGACTAAGGCCGGATGGATCTGGAAAGGGGAGCGTGACTGGGAGTTGGGAGCTCCCCCAGCCAAGGGGACAGCACCTTCCCAGGAGGAGCACCAGCAGCACATGCAAAGGCCGAGGGAGGAATCTGCTGGGTGTGTCGAGGGACTGCAGAGGTGCCATGGGAGAGGGACTGGAGAAGGAATCAGAGGCCACCCTGCTGCCTGTCATGAGAACTATCTTTCACTGTGTGGGAGGGGTCTGTTTCAGGGTTTGGAGCAGAGACATGACCCAGCTGACATTTTAAAAGGATCATTCTCCAGCTTTGTGGAAAGGGGACTCAAGAGGAATGAGCGCAGAGGCACAAGGGCCAGCGGGGAGGCTGCCTGGCTCAGAGCAGGGCTTAGTGCTGTGAATAGGAGAGCTGGCCAGATTCCGGAGAGACCTGGAAGAGCACAGGGTGTGCTGATGAGGTTTTACAGTGTGAGACCAAGAAGTGAAGGATGATTCCAGAGCTGCTGGCCTGGAAGATTTGGAAGAAGAAGTGGGACACTGATGTAATTTTTGTCAGTAGATGGCAGTTCCCTATTGTCATGATTATCTGTTCACGTGACTTTTCATTTAAATGGTTTATTTTAAATATGTGGAGCTGCTGTGTGCCAGGTGATACACTTGATGCTAGAGATACAAAGGTAAATAAATTGTGCTTGCAGGGCCTCACAGACTGACGGAGGAGACAGCAAAAGTGGATAATCCAGACAGGAGAGTGAGTTGTAGACAGGCTTGGAGAGGACAGGAGAGAGCCCCTTCCTGGAGGTGGTGATGTCTGAACTGAATCTTAAAGAACAGAAGAAGTGGGTCCCGGTGAAGATGGGGGAGAGGACACTTCAGGAACGGACCAGCATGAGCTGAATCTGGAGGCCTGAAAAGCAGCCAGGGGCGTAGCAGCTCAGTATTCTGGATGTGACTTTTGCTGTGGGAAGGGGCCAAGTCCAGACTGAAGGGAGGGCCACGCTCATGCGTGCTTCCTAGAGAGCCAAGAGTAAAAAGTCTTGTATGACCACTTGAAAATAGTTTTTTTCATAACAAAGAACATGTAAATACTCTTAGTAATATGGGGTTGCCTTCGTTTCAACTGGGTGATGGATAGTGGTCCACATGTGTTCTGTCTAGCTAGGCCCCTTGGACACTTTAACATGTGAGTACGTGTTTGTCATGGTGTCGGGGAGCCTTCAGTCTGACGAGGGGCCAGGGAGATAAAGCTTTAAGTGCATGTCTCATTCAGGGCCGTTGGATCCAGAGCCACATACTAAATACATTTTGGGCGAGTGAGTATCTGTGTAGGGTGTTCTAGAGGGTAGGAGACCACAGACCAGACACCATCAGGAAGGTTTTGTAAGTCAGGTGGCTCAGGTTCAATTCAAGGATGAAAAGAAGAGCCGGCTCTCAGAACAGCATTGTGTTGGTTATGTTCTAGAAGAAGCAAAGGACAGCAGTGGGGTGAGGGCGCAAGAAAAGAGACTCCGCGTTCATTGTCACTCGAGGGGGTGGTTTCTGCAGATGTGTACGTGTGTCAGCACCCATCAGATGATTCATTTTAAGTATGTGCACTTGGCGTGATGTCATTTTTACCCTGATGAAGAATGTGCGGTTCAGGCCCCAACCCAGCTGTCCCGCAGATCAGGTTCCAGGATTCCGGGCACCCAAGGTAAACATTCAGGTTTTGTTGGTTGGTTGGTTTTTGCCTCTGTTTTGGACTTCCCAGAGGTGAAAGGCTAAGTCTTGCTCAGGCAACTACACAGAAGAGGTCGGATGCCCTACAGTCTGCTTGTCCCTGCCGTCCAGAGTATAGGAGCCAAGGCTAATTTTTCAAGCCACAGGCATGTTTGGACTTGGCCATGTAGGAGGGAGTTTGTTAAATGGGAGTCCTGATCTTTCCAAAATCAGTTAGTAGTGTTATCCGTGTGACACAGTTCACATAACAGCCCTTCTATGAAATTTTAATTGAACAAACAAATGGCATAGCCACTGAGTTTCATCATAAACCATGGCCACTTATATGCCATGTGCTTTTTTGGTTGTCACTTGCTTTACTTAAAAGGATGGATGATGGACACTTTTTTCCATCCCACTCTTTTGGTAAACTTATCATAAGTCGGGGGGAAATCCTTTTCTGATTAGCTGGATCTGCTTTTCCACAGAAGAAAACCTGTCTGCTTCAGTTACCAGCCAGCCCGTTCATCCCAAGGAAAGCGTCGTACCGTTCCTTGTGGCGAGCAGTTCTGACCAGTTTCTGACGACTCCAGATGGCGATGAGAAGGACATAACGCAGGAGAGCTCTGAATTAAAGCACAGATCCTCAAAGAAAGATTTGTTAGAGGTGGACAGGTTCACAATCTGTGGAAACCGAATCGACTGAACTCCATGCCTCCCGTGCCCAAGATGCCGGGTCCCGGGCAGGAGGTGCAGAAAATGGCACTTAAATATTTATTTAAAAACTTAAATTATTAATGGAAAGCGAATCTTAGTATCTTTCTTCCAGTGATGGGGTCTGGCTGCAGGTTGGGTCACAGAACCTCAGCAGCCTCCAGCCTGGACTCTGGGGACCTGCCGGGCAGGAGGAGCCCCTCGTGCGTGGCCGGGAGCAGTCACTTCCAGGCCCGCGATGCAGCGTCAGCACCACCCTGCTCGTCCGTCTGCGCTTCCGGAACATCGAGGCCTCTCAGTACAAGGATGTACCTGGAAAACTGTGAAGCTTTTACCACATTACCTTTCCAGTCCCATACTGTTTCCACAGTTTTCAAACTGTACTTCATCTGCCAAAGCATTAAAAAGAAAAATGGTAATTAAACTTAAGTCAAGATAAATGTTCTTACCACCAGAATAATCCTTGAAGATGTGTCTGAATTAATCAGAATAAAAGGCTACCTAAAATAATTCATGATGAATAGTAGCATTTTATAGGGAAAAAAAACCCTAAGCTGGTTTGTTTATTTAAAAAATATTCATTTAATGAAGGTGGTTATGCATCACGGAGAAAATGTTTCATAATTTTTCAGTTTACTCTTTAAAGCAAAATGTGAGCTGTGTATTGTTCAATTGCAACGGATAAAATAGAAATACCCTTACAAAAGGCACTTTTATACTGAAAAAGAGCAGTGTTAACTTTTAATGTATAGTTAACGGGTTTCGCTTTAAAACTAATTGCTTCATAAATTGTTGCAGTTCAAAGGATGTGTTGAAGGGGCTGAAGAATTTGTTGGTGTACAAAATCCAAAGGTGTCAACTTTAACAGAGTTTTTAAAGTGACAGCTTTAAATATTCTGAACGATTTGGGCAGCGTCTTGCTTGGGCTTGCAAAAGGCGTGAGCCCTGCTGACAGGAGCATCCAGGGGTGTTCCCAAGCTGGGGGCAGGCGGCCGTGTCTCTGGGGTGTATGTGTGGAGATGTGTGTATGGACGCTGGGAACAGGAACGAAAAGGTGCTTTTGGGTTTTGAGATTTGTTCTGCTTAATTACTAGTTTGTGGCCTGCATCATAGGACAAGTCATTTCCCACCACAGTTTTATCTTGAGAAACCTTTCTGCACTTTTATAAAAATTTTACAGTGTCTCATTTCAAAATGTGCAGATGTTACTGTTAACCGTCATTTCCTTTGATGTTTCCATGTTGAAGTTCGGCTCTTGTGCTGATACTTTGGGTATATTAAATGCAAAAGGTAAATTTTAGGGGCTTCATCTCTTTCCTGGGTGAAATACAAAGCACGCTTTAATGTTTTGGTTTCTTTGGCCTCCATAGAAATACAGAAGTAAATCTTAACGTTTTGCACTAACTAAAGAAATCTGAAGATAATGTTCACTTAGGGTAAAAGGAAATCTTACCTAAATGCTTTTGTGAAACCAGGAAGTATTTTAAGTTAAAAATGAAAAGATTTGTGTTTTGTGTATGTTTCAATGAAGCCCCATCATAGAATTATTCTTCTATCCATCTCTTCGCCACCAAAAGGAACGGAATCCACGTGAATGGACTAGTTTGGGGAAATCTTTGCCAAACGTAGCCCTGATCAGAGCAAGAATATGATTTGGGTTTATCTTTCAATTCAGCTTGAATTATCCTGTTGTTATTGTGCTGTCATTTTCAGAAGATTTCATTTCCTTTGCAGAACCTATTGGGAGTTTGGAATGATGTTCATTTCTTCTGTTAAAATGGCATTCAGTACTAATTTTATAAGTGCATCTTGTGTGAAACTCAATAAATTCAATTTTGTAATCTTTTTTAAAAAGGTCACTGAATTTATTTTAATAATGTTTACTGTTATATTTGCTGGAGTAAATACCCACTCTGTAATAAGAATTTTACTTGTAATTTACAGGTGACAAGACTGTTTAATATGACTTCTTCTCTTAGTCTTAATGGTAGCAAAATGTTGGATTTTTGTCCTGGGGCGGAAAAGGCTAGTACTTGATCATAGACCATTTCATATCTATCAGCCAATGGATGTACAGGTGTTTTGAATGTCACACAGTGTGTTTTTCACATCTGAGAGTCAAGTTCAAGACAGTACTTTGCTTTTTAAAATTAAGGCACAACTTAGGTCAGACTCTAATTTGCTTTATCATTTAAACAGTATAAACCCCAAGGGTCATTCAGGAGTTTATCCAAATTTTCTTTGTACTTTGTACTTCTGTACCTTGGCCAGCATTCAGACTGTACATTCATTATATGTATACATGGAAGAAACGTGTTGTAGTTAGATCCCCAAAACATTTCTGCCACTCCTGATAACTAGCAGAGGAGGGTATAAATTCACAAAATAATTTAAAATCACTACATTTTGATATGTTTCAGATTTATATCTATTCCTCCAACAGGGATTTATGAATCACTTTATGTGTCTGGGGCTTTTCTAGATGTCGGAATCAGCAATGAACCAAGCTCCAGCCCTTCTGGAAAGACCAATAGTAAGCAAGTCAGTGAAATAACATCCCCTCAAGACACATTGCCTAATGACCATAAAACCTGGTCTGAAATAATGGCTCTTTAACATTTTATAGAAATCTTACTTTTTTCCTGTTTTTTTTTTTAAGATTTTATGTATTTATTCATGAGAGACACACAGAGAGGCAGAGACACAGAGGGAGAAGCAGGCTCCATGCGGGGAGCCCAGTGTGGGACTCGATCCCAGGACCCCAAGATCGGGCCCTGAGCTGAAGGCAGACGCTCAACCGCTGAGCCACCCAGGCGTCCCTTCCTGTTGTATTTTTGTAAAATAAAAGAATTATGTAGCAGTTTCACAGTACTTCTATAAAATAGAAATAGGGGGACCCCTGGGTGGTGCAGCAGTTTAGCACCTGCCTTTGGCCCAGGGCACGATCCTGGAGACCCGGGATCGAATCCCACATCAGGCTCCCGGTGCATGGAGCCTGCTTCTCTCTCTGCCTGTGTCTCTGCCTCCCTCTCTCTGTGTGTGTGTGACTATCATAAATTAAAAAAAAATTTTTTTTAAATAAAATAGAAATAGGATTTTTTTTTTTTTTTTTACACTACAGAGTGCCAGTTGTCCACCAAACTCTGTTCTGTTCTGTACACAGAGTTGCAGCCAATCACATAAGCTGCCTTGGCAGTTCAGAACTACATCTCTGAGTCCTTGCTCTTCCTTCTGGGCTAGTGACATTTCTACCAAGGGATGGAAGTCAGAAGGATATATGCCATTATGGATCCCCTTCCACCCTCTCTTCCCTTCCCCACCAACTGGAACCCAAAGAAGGTGTGACTTTGCCCCAACCATGCAGGTAAATGCTGTGCCCACAGGATGGCAGAGCCACAGGGGTGCGGATCCTGGGTCCTTGAATGCCTCTCTGGAGCAGAGTCGCCTATCGATGAGGGACACTCAGCTTAGACTATACATGAGAGAGGAATAAACACCTTTCTATCAAAGCTACTAAATCTAGAGGGTCTATATTACAGCCCAAATTGATACACTAAGAAATCTGGAAGGGTCTACTTAGAGATCTTTAGATAAATGAGGTGTTTGACCTCTAAAACATACTCGTGAAAACACTCCATTCTCATATGTACTCTTCGTAAGGAAAAGATAAAGATGATTATGTCCCACTCATTTGGAGGTCAGATGCCCAGCACCCTTGGCCATCTTGAACTGAACCTTAAATTTGCTTATAAATGGCAAAGTCATGTTTGTTGGTGTTCTCTGCTGACCAGATGCTCCTTTCCCCTTATCGCTCAGGAAATTGTGTGCAGAAAGAGTGGATCATGGGTATAATCAAAGAGCACAGAGAAGTGGAAGCAAAGAAGTTAATACATCAAAAGAGCAGCAAAAATATAGTCATCTGGGGCCAGATTGAGGCAAATGATTCTGAGCAAGTGATTGCTCAAAATATCCCCGTGTTAGTGTTCAGTATGATATGTGGCATTGGTGAGTGCCTGAGACATGTAGGATGGTTTAGGTCATGTTTAATCTGATTGAGACATGTCTACAATGAGGAGGAAGTTGTTAAGGAAATTGGCATTCTAAGAGAGTTTCAATGATCTGAAAAGTTGGCTAACGGAACAGCTCATGTTCAATAGCTCTTGCTTGTTCTAAATTTCAATAAGAAAAGATAACACATATTGGCAATTTAGTAAAAGGCACACTTTGGCATGGTGTAGTAGAGCTGAATTGGAAGTTGTTTGATAGTTAATGAAAAAGCTAAGTATCCTCAAAACATATTTTGCTTTCAACTTTCTTTTTGGCAGGTGAGGAAGTTAAGGGCGGTGCAGGGAGGGGGTCTTGGGGTACAGGTAGAGGCACCTTTTATAAAAGATTGGATCGGAAATTACAGAATATATATGCTCCTGAAGGGTAAATCACCTGCAATTATTTTTAATAAGCATATTCTCATTTCATTTTAGGTAAGTCTGCATAAGAATGTAAACACTGGGAAATTGCTATAATATCAGGCTAACCAGATAAAGTGAAATTTTAAAAAATGCATAACATATCTTGCAGGGCTTGATTTTTTTTAAGATTTTATTTGACAAGCAAGTGGGCACAAGAGAGGCAGAGGGAGAGGAAGAAGTGGGCTCCCCACGAAGCAGGGAGCCCAACATGGGGCTCAATCCCAGGACCTTGAGATCATGATCTGAGCTGACCCTTAACAGACTGGGCCACCCAGGCACCCCTTGTAGGGCTTGATTGAGCAAATATTAATTATGCAGTCCCTATGGAAAGCACTGAAGTGAATAAGCCCTGCTTTGCTCACAGAGCTTATCTAAGGCCTAGTGGGCAGACTGTTGGTTGAACTGGCTTGGCAGTTACAGTCCTGTGAGCTATGTGCTGCCATAAACGGTACCGGTTGCAGCACAACATCTGGCGCAGATGGGGTCCCAGCATCTATCTGGTACAGTTCCTGGCACATGCAGGTGGCCAATATATGCTTACTGGATGAATAAACATGGGGGCCATTTTGGGAAAAGTGCACTTGGACTGCCTGGAAAAGAGTAGGAATTAAATGGATAAGAAGGAAAGGAAGGGCGGGCCAGACACAGAGGAAGAAAGACCATGTGACCTCACGTGACCTCACGTGTCTGAATGCCTGCCGAGTGCCAACCATCATGCTGAGAATACCAGAAGGAAGAGCTTCACTCCAGGGGGAGGGTGGAGGAGACAGGAGCTGGATCTGGAGAGCTTTGAATGCCTTAACAAGAATCTTGGACTCGATCCTACAGGCAATGGAGGGAGCTTACATGGAATCTTAAATTGGATCATCGGAACTATCAAATGAGAGGATAAATGGGGAAAAAAAAAAAGGCTACTTGTAAACTATCAAGTGTTAGGTAACTTGTCAGCACATATCAGAGCAGAAAGCTAAATCTCTTCTGTAACTCAGAAGCCCGTGCTCTGTGCTGCTCTTGAGAGAAAGAGACCAGGAGACCCAAGACCATGGCCATTCCCACCAGAGGAATGGGACTTCCCAGATGTAGGGCATGGTGACTTTTCAGATGTTGGGTGTCTAAGACGTTTACCCCTTTGAGAAGTTCCGGGAGGGCTAGCTGGCTGTGTGGGCCTGGAGATGGGGACTTGCTCTGTGACACTGCAAAGCTGCTAATCTGTAGATCAGGCTTGATAATACTCATTTCTCAGGGTTGTTGGGAGGAATAAGAGTGCATCTGACAGGGTTCTTGGGTTGCTCAGTCGGTTAAACGTCCGACTCTTGATTTTGGCTCAGGTCATGATCTCAGGGTTTTGAGATTGAGCCCCATGTCGGGCTCTGCGCTGGGCATGGAGCCTGTTTAAGATTCTCTCTGTCTCCCTCCACCCCTCCCCCTCCCAAAAAAGTGCATCTGACCTGGAACTGTAAATGGTATAGCACTGTGCAAATCTAAGTTGTTGACCCTCATTGCCCGAGGCCTCACAGCCAAGATTAGTGGTCCTCGAAGTGTGCTTCCCCACCAGCAGCATCCCATCACCTGGGGACATGTTAGAAATGCAGATTATGTTGCCCTCACCCAGACCTGCTGAACAGAAACGCTGCAGCCCAACAATCTGTTTTTACAGCTCTCCTGGTGATTCACAAGCTCCTTAAGTTTGAGAACCCAGGCCTAGAGCCATCACTCTCTAAGATCTAGATCTCAGAATTATGGAACCCCAAACACCACCATCTGCATTTCCCAAGGTAAAGATTGGAGAGATTAAAACAGAATTTTGGTCTTTAGCATATATACCTACAGTTTATTTAAAATCTATATTTTACTGATGTCACTTGCTTAAGGCCAGGCAGCCAGATAAGAGAGTGGGATTAGACGCAGGGGCTTCTAGATCTTGCTCAAACCTCACTTGGCATTCTTCTGCCTATTACACCCTCAAGGTTCTGCCCCCATCCCGTGGCACTAGAATCTTCCAGATGAGTCGTGCAGACATCATAAAGCACAGGGTCAAGATATCACATGAGACTCCAGCACTTTAATCACCAAAGCTGAGGAAGAAAAGACGCACAGTCCACTACGTGGTGCAACGGAGCTCCAGACTTTCTGGGGCAGATTGGCTCCGGGGAGCGCCCCTACTCCTCTAGGGGCTGCGGACATAGCAGACAGGGCAAGCAGGGCCCTTCTCTTTGGAAGCTTATGTTCCAATATCCCTGTGGGGAAAGCAGATAATAAACAGGAGAACAGCGGAGTATTTGCAGAAGGTAATGGATTCTCTAGAGAAAACGAGGTGATGAGAAACGAACGAACGGGCAGGATGCTGTCCTGAAATTGGCTGGTCCGCGCCAGAAAGTC